TATGATGTACTTCAGTAACATCAACGACATCACAAACACACACGAAGATGCTCCCATCACCTTTCCATGTGTTGTCAAAGTGAGTTGCACGAACGCTGGATTCGGAAAGTCTCTTATAAAGTCTGCGAGTGAATTAGATGACCTTATCTCTATTCTTTCGCTTGGAAATGATTATTACACAATCGAGCCATATCTCGACGTGGACTATGAAGTACGAATTCAGCGCATTGGGAAGTATACCCGCACCTTCAAAAGGCAGTCTACAACTTCTTGGAAGAACAATTGGGGTCAATTGAAGTACGAAGACACTCCACTGAAGAGTGAATACGTTCATTGGTGTGATGAATGTCAAAAAGTGTTTGATATAGAACTCTTTGCTGTTGATGTCTTAGTACTTAAAGATGGCAGAGAAGTCGTTATTGAGACAAATAACACTGCCAATGGTTTAATGTGGGAACATGAAGAGGAAGACAGAACTAAGATTAAAGAAGTAGTCTTAGAGAAGATGAACCAAGTGTTTCATTAACTATATTATTTAACATTGTTTATTAATTGTTTATTAATATCAAAAACAATTTATTCAATATTAATAATGTAACCAGTTTTATTTATTTGAATATCTGTCAAATAACAAACGACAACAAACAAGACTCACTTATCTTATCCATCAAGATACCCCAACTGCTTAATGAACGCGTATTGTTCCGGTACTTCACAAAGTGCAGCCGTAGCAAACGCGATGTCTGGATTCTCTACGTGGCCCTCACACACCTTATAATAGTTGACAAAGTTGAAATTATCGAACTTGGCATTTTTGACTTGCTACTGGTGAGTTTCAAAACATTAATTCATTAGACACTAATAAATACAAAAGCAATAAAAAATCATCGCACCAAATATAAAAACATTGAGTAATTTAAACTGATTAAATGTGATATTATTAATTATTAAAATAATTGAAATAATAAACAATAATACAAAACAAACATCATCAAAAGATTCCATAGTGTCAAAAGGCCCATCTCCAACACCAACACAGATGATAGAAATGGGATATTTAGATGCTTCTTCAATTGCTCTTCTGTTGGGACCAATTTCACTGACAGACCCATCACATATTATAACTAATATATGATATTGTTTAGTTTCTTTCACGATTTCAATAGCTTTGTTAATGATAGGAACGAAGGATGTTGGTCCACTCAATGTAATGGATGGGATAATTTGTTTGTATCTCTCCAGGGCAGCCGCCATTCCCAAGAACGGCTTTTTCTCTTGTGACAAATCAAAGACAGCGTTTCCTCCAGTCGTCTTGTCTCCAAATCCAAAGACTGGAATGAGTCTGTCGTCATCAAATTTCTCTAGTGTACGACCCATGATATCCATGACTCTCATATACGGGTTTGGATTTGATGGGTCGATCGTATGAAGATTTCTTCCATATGTTCTTTTACCAGAGGTCTGGTTAGATCCTGTAAAATCAATTCCAACAACCAAATTCGATGATTCCAAGCCAGCTTTTTGAAGCGCTTCTTGGAGTGCCTCAACTGACTCATATGAAGTCATAATTGGTTGGGTAAGACGTTTTTTCTGTTCAGATGATGGATCATTTCCCATTTTTTTTGCTCTCAAATTTTAGTTCTTTCCGCCCCTTTATATAAGTTCTCAATCTTTGATTTTTTGAAAAAAATCTCAATGAGGAACTTTAAAAAAGAGCTCTCCTCTTTTTCACTCTATTTTCCAAAGATTTGAATTGATTAATTTGTGAAGTCAAAATCAAAGTTAAAAGGGATGAAATAAAAAGAATAAAAAAATATGACCAAGTCCAACATATAAATTTAACTTTATGAAAACTATGTTTTTGGAATCTTATTTGAGATTTTTATAATTCTTATTATGATATAGTTCAAATTATTATAATGATGTATTTTATCGTTTATACTATAAATTTATAATTAAATTATATGGTTTTATTATAATTAAGTAAAATTGTTAAATCATTTACAAATTATTTGTCTCTCTTTAATTCCTCATCAATTATTAACTTCTATTGAATTAAAAGTTAATAACTTGTCTATAAATTGACTTTTCCTAATAATTTATAGTATTAAAAGTAATCATTCCTTTTATTGTAAAACAATGAAAAATTGGTAAAACAAAAACTTGATGATTTATTGACATTAAAATAAACGAGTAAAAAATATATTTTCCAAGAAAAAAATTACACAAAACAACACAATAATGACATAAAAGTTACTTAAGATTTCTCAATCCATCAGATTTTTTTCCATGAAGAGCATATAAATTATTTTTTTCCATACAAATCCCTTCAAATCGCTTTTAAAAACATCCGTTATAACTTCGTCGTTCCACTCTTTATCGAACTCACTTTCTCCGCACCCTTCCCTGGCCTTTGAAAGGACCAACGCAAGCTGAGGTGTTACATCCAAAACACAGTCCTCTGACATGCCGTACATTTGAATGACGTCATTGATCAATGTGAGCATCGACTTGAGGTAATCGACAAATTCGTCAAAGCTCTGAATCTTTTCGCCAAAGCAAATCTTAATGAAATCGTTCTGAGTAATAACAACAATCTCACCTCCATTTTTGAGATTTGACGAAACGAGAGCACTCAATACCACTTTGAAAAATTGGGAATCCCCCTTAACTTTCTTCAACAAAATACTATTTTCACTAACCTCAACGGCGCTTTTCTCCTCATTCCTTTCAATCTCAGATACAATCTGCGGAACGAGGTTAATCCCTTTAAATGATTGACTCTGTCGTTTCGCTTCTGATGAACTCAGTTTTCTCAGCTTTTTAAGTTCTTCGACAATTTTCACCATTTCATCAAAGTCAGAGAGTTGCTGTTGAGTTTCTGAGGGTTTCTCAAATTCATGTATTTCATTTTTCCAAGAACTGATAGTTGCGTCGTCGACAATCTCGGAACAGCCTTCAAGCATTTTTGAAAGGCGAGTCTCGTTGGAAGAAATAGACTCGGTAAGTGACGACAAGTAGCCTTCGAGTTGTGAGAGTTGTCGTTCACGCTTATCCCGATCGTCGTCAAGAAAACTTACTTCACTAACTGGAAACATGGATCTGGTTATTTAGTTAGGTTCTAAAAAATTGATGACGCCTCAGTTGCTTATTATTTTATTATTGCACGCCTCGCTGGCGACACCGATTGCGGATTTATACGAAAGCGCTCGGGCGGCTTTTGATGTTTGTTATTCTTCTTCAGACACAACACTTTTTCTCGTCGTTTCTATCATTTTTTTCATTCAAAACAACAAATAAACCATTTATGAACTATCATGTGTTTTAAATTAATGGTTATATATTTAATTGAGAATTAACTATTGTTTATACACACCACTTTTGAAGGACAAAATAACCAAAAGAAACGAACAGAGCAGCATACCGAGTGCATGAACACATACGAAACAATACCCGTCGACGTGGCTAATGTGACTGACAACACAACTTTCTGTTACACGTGTCTCACGAATGAGTACTCGATAAGCACATTGAATTACAACAACAAAACGGGCATTTCAAGCTCCGTGAAAACAGACGCTTCGTGGGTGTCTCAGGTCAAATTTACAGAGGCAAATGGGTATGGATCATTCCTCTCGACAAACTCGGTGTTCGTCCAGTTCCCGACAAAGATGTCGTCGTTTACCCCTCCTCCGTACTTGGTTCCGTTGAACTTGATTGTCTTGTACGACGTTTCGTCGTCGAACGAACAGCCAAAGACGTTGTTTTCTTTCTTGAAGAGGTTCACCAGTATGCAATTTTTATATTTTCTTCCGTTCAACCACTCGCCCCAAAACATCCTTCATTCCGGCAGATGCAATCAGTCATCAATCAATCATTTGATGAATTCACTTTGCAAAATTAAGTATGGTGGTGGAACGAGATACAGTGACGCCTTCAATAAGATGAAAAATGACGTCTTACGTCAGAAAGAAGATTTGGTATCGAAGGTTCTTGACGTTGTCTTGATTTCTGATGGCAATGAGATTCAGAATCGAAAACTTCTATGGAAGGTTTTAGATGGTATTCCTGAGGAATACGTCACAAATGTGCACACCATAGATACGGGGAACGGAACGTGGGGAGATAAATTGCGAGAAATTTCGTGTAAATATGGCAACAGCTTTTATATAGACATCAATGAGAAAACGATCGAACAGCTCTTGACGGTCTTCTGGCTCCGCGCGAACGTCGCAAAGAGCCAACTTGTACAAGACGGCCAACTGTTTTCTGGAAAGAGTGACACGACGGTTGTTCTCATGGAACTTCTCTACACATACCCAGCAGATAAGATCTTTGGGAAAAGGAGTTATGGAGTGATTGGGGTGTATAGTTCAGAGAAAACTACGGACACTGACGAGTTTATGTCAAATCCCCCCACCGAAGTCCGAACGATACAATTGCAATTGTACGTGTTGAGAAGCTACTTGGAGATGGAGATGTGCGGAAACGAAATCAAGCCGACTGCAGAAGAGGTTGAGGATATCAAGAATTCAATCAGTTCAATCGACAAGTGGTATTCAGGACCGGCTGATCTGTCAAGTGCCATCTGCACTAATGTGAGTGAAACTAAGGCGCTGAAATGTGGGATGGTGGATGGATGTCAGGCATTTGATGCAAATAATTACTATTTGAGAGAAACTTGTGGCGTAAAAGGTGTTGGTTTGGTGGTGTTGATGGTGCTGCTTCTGTTCGTTTAATTTCTAATCACTCATTGTTTGATTTTTTTGTTGTAACTCTCTCTTATTTAATAATTTTATCATTAATTATAGTTAATTTGATTCAATTGTTCATTACAATTGTTTTACAATTGTAAGTTGTAGAAATTACATTTTAATTAATAATATATTATTTGATTTTATTACAATTTATTAATAAAATCATAAACAAAGATATTATAATTTTTTATTAAATAATTATAATATAATTATAATATATTTAGTTAAAATAAGTTTGATTTTTAGAAAATAGTTTGAAAAAGAATTTATAAGATCTTTGACATTTAAATTAAAAAGTCAGAAAGAAAGCTTTGGCGAAAAACGATTTTGCTTATTTTATATTATATAACTATTTTTTACAAAATGTTACCATATAAAAACAAGTTCCCAGATTTGCATTATTTTTTTTAATAAAAAACTAATTATGAGTTAATTAGTAACCATTAAAATTTGTAGTAATTAATTAATAACAATAATAGTAAATATATACTGAACCAAATAAAAAAAATAAAAAGCATTTTGAAGAATAAGAATTGTTAAAACACCACAACTTGACCACCAAGTAAAAAACAACAAGACATAAAAAAGTTTTGCACTTTTTTTCAGATTGCGAGAAAGTGTTAAAAAAAACAAAAAGCGTTGTTCTTTCTTTCTTCGTTGCCTTTTTTTTTATTTCATCCAAAGAAGATATAAAAACAAAAAAAAACAAAAAATCAGAATTTTGGTGTTAATAACAAAGTTACCAAACAAACACTTTTTTATTCTAAATAAATTGCATTAAATACCATTAACATAATGTTTTTACAATTCTCGTGAATGTCATTGCCAGTGCAGAAAAAAGTGGAGGAACCCTACAACTATAAAGTGGAACTAGAAAAGCCCTCAACCATGAAGAAATCGCCGTCGACTGAAGTGACCCATCGTGTTCGTTCGTCTGTTTCGATGAACAAACTTCGCACGACCTTTTCTGATGCGAGTGAAGTAGCGCACTTTACGAATGAATCTGAGTCTGAGAAGTATGAGAATCTTTGGAAGTACTGTTCCTTGTATCTTTCAAAGGACGTTGATACCATTAAACAGCAAATCGCGAATCACATTGAGTACACCTTAGCTTGCCAGCGCTTTGATTTCAAAGCAAAGTCTCTCTTCACGGCGACTGCCATGTCTTTACGGGATCGTATGATCGAGTACTGGAACGACACTCACAACTATTTCACTGAGCAAAAGGTGAAGCGGATGTACTACCTTTCCATCGAGTACTTGATCGGCCGCAGTTTAATGAACGCCATCTGTAATTTAGACTTAGAAGCCGAATACAAAGAAGTCGCAACACAATTTGGGTCTTCATTGGAAGAATTATACGAGTTCGAGCAAGACGCTGCTTTGGGGTCTGGCGGACTTGGTCGATTAGCTGCGTGCTTTTTAGATTCATTGGCTACTATGAACTTCCCGGCATGGGGTTACGGGATTCGGTACCAATATGGGATGTTTAAGCAACAGATAGCTCAAGGCTATCAAATTGAGACTCCAGAGTATTGGCTTGAAGCTGGGAACCCATGGGAAATAGTTCGAAAGGATGTGAATCATGAAGTCCGCTTTGGTGGATATGTCTTGAAAGATGAATTAACAGGAAGAAAGAGATGGGAAGGAGGAAGTACTGTTAGAGCGATAGCTTGTGATATGCCAGTGCCGGGATATAAGACTTTAAATACACTGAACTTAAGATTGTGGAGCTCAAAGCCATCGACCGTGTTTGATTTGGACCACTTCAATAAACAAGACGACATCGACTATTGGGAGAAGGTCAGGAACCAACAGAACGACGAATCCATCTGCAAAGTGTTATATCCGAACTCGTCGAATGCTAAAGGACAAGAACTTCGCTTGAAGCAACAGTTCTTCTTCACTTCAGCGTCACTCCAAGACATCGTCAGACGATTTAAAAAGTTAAATGTCCCATTGAGTGACTTCCCACAGTATGTTGCTATTCAATTGAATGATACACATCCGACCGTTGGGATCTTAGAGTTGATGAGAATCTTAGTCGACTTAGAAGGTATGGAGTGGAACCAAGCTTGGGGTATTGTAGTTCAAACCTTTGCTTATACCAATCATACTGTATTACCAGAAGCACTTGAGACGTGGACCGTCCCTATGTTCCAAGGGTTATTACCAAGACATATGGAAATTGTGTATGAGATCAATTACAGATTCTTGGAATGGGTTAAAGGAGAACACAAGTGCACTGAAAGCGAGTTAGCTGCTTTATCGATTATTGAGGAATCGACGCCGAAGAGAATTAGAATGGCCAATTTGGCTATTATTGGCTCACATACGGTCAATGGAGTTGCTGCAATCCACTCGCAAATTATTAAGGACGTCATCTTCAGACACTTCGCGAAGATTTGGTCGTACAAATTCATTAATGTGACCAATGGGGTTACACCACGACGATGGATGTTACAGTGCAATCCGTTACTCTCTGAAGTAGTTACTGAGTATCTGAAGACGGACAATTGGGTAGTTGAGTTATCGATGTTGAAGCAATTGATTCCAATGTGTGATCACACTCTTGAAGAGAAATTCAAAGCTGTGAAGATGCAGAACAAAGAGCGACTCATCCGCTTGATCAGTAAAATGACGGACGGCGATTTGGTTTTGAACTCCTCATATCTCTTCGACGTGATGGTGAAGAGAATTCATGAGTACAAAAGACAGACTCTTGCTATCCTCGGCACTATCTGGCAGTACTTGAACTTGAAGCAGATGTCTCGAGAAGAGCGATTGAAGCAAGTTCCTCGTGTGAAGATCTTTGCTGGGAAGGCCGCGACTTCATATGAGAATGCCAAGATCATAGTGAAGTTGATTAACTCTGTTGCTGAAGTTGTTAATAAAGACAAGACTATTGATGATATGTTAAAGGTTGTCTTTATACCAAATTACAGTGTTTCATTGGCAGAAGTGATTGTACCAGCTAATGATATTAATGAACAAATTTCTACTGCGGGATATGAGGCTTCAGGAACATCTTGCATGAAATTCTGTATGAACGGTGGACTCATTATCGGGACGTGGGACGGCGCAAATATCGAAATCGCTGAGGAGGTCGGAGAGGAAAACATCTTCTTGTTCGGAGCAAAGAAACAAGAAGTCGAATTGATCCGTCAACAAGGCCCAGTCCCTATCGACGAAAGACTCTTGAAGGCGTTGTTGGCTATTTCACAGGGCATGTTCGGAGCTCCCGATTGGTTCAATAAACTCATCGGACAATTCTGGAACGGAAATGACTTCTACTTGGTCGCCGCTGACTTCACTGCGTACTTGAAAGAACAAGAAAAGGTCGACGAGACTTGGAAGAAGCAGAACGAGTGGAATCATAAGTGCGTGATGTGCACCGCTAATATGGGAAAGTTCTCTAGTGATAGATCTATGAGCGAATACGCGGCTATGGTGTGGAATATTCAGCCTTGCCCACTCAAGGAGGGAAGTGTCGAGGATATGATGGACGTCGCTAAAAAACAGATCTTACCACAAAAAGTCTAAGTAAGTTGATGATTAATGGATTCTAGTTCTTTTTACTATAACAGTATAGTTTCGGTTGTTTTCTAGTTATTTTTAATTCGTTAATCATTTTTTACAATACCATACCAATCGAATAGTATTAATATAGTTTATTAATAGTACATGATTGTGTCTTCTATTAATATATTATATTAATTATAAGTAATTCATAATAATTTATATTAATTATAATAAATTAGTATAAATTAATAGTAAATAGTAATTAGTAATAATTTACTAATTGAAATAATAACAAAAAATAACAAATTGCTATCGACTTTGTTGATATTTTTAAAACATAATGACGAAATAAAAATAAAATTATTTCGAAATGTTAAAAAAAGTTTCAAGGAAATCAGATGTCCAATGAGCAAGAAAACTGGAAAAATTGTATTATTTTATCCTTATAAAAACAAATATTAAAATAATAGTATAAAATATAATTGATTAATTAACAAATACAAAACGAAAAAAATAAACTTTTTGGTAGCGATCTTTTAGCTTTAATAAGAAATTGATTGCCTTTCAAAGTTCGGGAACAAGCAGTATATTTCGTGGATTTCCAATTACTTTTATAGCAATTCTGTTACAATAAAACTTTTATTATATCAATTGGAATGGCTCTCCTTTCAAATACCCCACTTTTCCGATCAAAATTACAACTTTACAAACTATAAATCACTAGTAAATTAATTAAAAAACTCTAGTACTCCCAAGTGTTGAGGAAACTTATAACTTGGAAGACACTACACTAATGGAGTCTCAGAGTTCTGTACGGCGTTCTCTCTTGATCTCGACGGAGGATCGGTTTACTCAATACAGTTTGTTACTATTCAAGTTGATCGAACGCATTAAGACTCACGCGATAGAGTTATCACGGAAATTGTTTCTAAGTGATAAAGACTTTGAGATAACGAAAGGCTTAGTGGAGTGTATGACGAAGATTGAAAGTCCATTTTTCGAAGGGATCTTAAACTATCAAACGGGCTTTGATGAAACGACGAATGAAGAAACAATTCTCATCACCTGTGAGATCGATCGCCTTGTTTTGGACTACTTTAACTCGGCGATCTCGATCGACGCCGTTCGCTATTTTTCTTCAGATATCCAAACACTGTTGGACACGGTACTTGCACTGCGAAAGAGTTTATCGGACAACTTGAAAACACCAATCCTTTTCTTATTCACCGAGATGTCCGTGAGTATTCAAAGTGACCCGTCGTCGCCTATCCCACAGTTGAAATTGTCTGTTCTTGGATTTATATTACCTTATGTCATCGATTCGATGAAACATTTGGATGGGATTAGTCCATATATCCCGCCCGATCTTCAAAATAAGACGGTAACTAAAAAAGATGTCACCAAACTGGAAGTTCCCTCCTTTTTAGTCTTATTACACAAATTACTCTTTCAGAAGAATCCCGCAGTGAATTATAAACAGATGACTTCTATGGCGTTTGGGGACATCACAACAGACGTCGCACCGCCTATCCAATTCTTACAGAAACTCTTTGTTTGTTCGTCTTCATTTTTCGTCTTAATTTTAGAGTTGTGTGTGGATATTATAAGATTCTGTGATATTCGAGGACCACACAAGGAGGCGTATAAGTGTGTCAATATTCCACTTTCAGATAATTAGTATTGTATAAATGCTGTGTGTATGCCAAAAAGGGAGTACTAATATATAGAAGAAAAAGCCCTCTTTTCCAAAGATCCTCGAGATGATGCGAAAGAACGACTTCTTCAAGCAGTGTTGGCAGTTCAAATACATTCAGCCGATACCCATCGAGTCGATGTTTAGTGTGTTTGATATGTCATCGGTGAAGATCTTAGGGAAAGGCGCTTTTGGGTGTGTCTTTTCAGCGTCTCACGTTGGGAACTATTATGCTATTAAAGAGCTTTCTCTCGCAGACGTTGCACTGAAAGAGGTCCGTACTATGGTGTTATGTCATCACCCCAACATCGTGACGCTCTTCCAATTCTACACATCAAAAATGTCTGTTCGTTCGTTATTTAATACATTAGAGCCTTTAAAGAGTGAGTTGTATTATTATGTAGTGATGGAGTGTTCTGCATATGGCTCGCTCTATAACTTCATGTCGATGAATAAGAGCGGAGTCTCGTTAGAGTACATCCAACAGTTCATGAACGATATAAATAGCGCTATGGAATATCTCATCTTCACACGACAAATCATCCATCGCGATTTAAAGACACAAAATGTTTTGGTCTTCCAAGACCAAACAAAAAAGATCGGGTTAACTCTCAAATTGTGCGACTTCGGGTCAAGCAGACTCATCGGAGATAACATCTTCGACACCTTCTTCGTGGGGACAGGACATACTAATCAACCGGAAATTTCTCATGGCAAAATATATAACGAAAAGTGCGACTTATTCTCCATCGGTGTCATGCTCTATGAAATGATTACGGGGATCATGCTTAATGTGAAGAAAGACCCTTCGGTTCCTATCCAAAATTATTACACATTTTATCAACAGAAGTTGCTCGAGTTGATGAACAACAGATCAAACTTCGTCGCTGGTAAACAACAGAATTTCGAGATCCTCGTAGACTTGATGCGTGGACTCTTCGTCGACCAAACTCAGCGCCCAACTTGGGAACAGTACCTTCAACACCCTTTTTTCAAAATAATATTTGTTTAGTGTTCATTCTTTGGTGCAAAATAGATGAGATGCTATATATAGTATTCTAGTATCTATCTATTTCTATTTTTAGGTGAATTATAATAATAATATAAAAATATAATAATAAATATTTTATAGTTATAATACTATAATAATAATATTATTGTTATAAATAGTAAAAATAGTAAATTCAATAATAAAACATACAGATTAAGCTTCATCAGTCTTCACTCCACAATGACTACAAGAAGATGTCGCGAACGAAGTGACTTGAGAACTCCGCGGTTTGTTTTCTTGATTTGTTAAAGAGAAGCTCCTCTCGTTTTGAGGCTGTTTTGGTGACCCAATGAGTTTTTCAGATTTTGTTCTATTACGTCCAATTAATCTCCGAGGAGATGTAGAAGGTGATGAGACTGATCCGACAACAAAGGTCTGTTTTTTAGTGTCACTGGTAGTCTTCTGAAGAGTTTCTATTGGTATTTGAGTTGTTGTATCTACAGATAAAGTAAGGGGTTTGGGGGTATAAAAGTACAAATCTCTTCGCGACACCGAAACACGGACGGGTTCGCGTTGTAAACGTGGTTTTGGTCTGCTCATATCTTTGATTTGTTTTCATTGTTCCAGAATAAGAAGTTTATTGAATCAATACTCATTAGTAATATTAACTATAAAGTATAGTTTGGTCAACCTTTTTTGTTTGAAAAATCAAGAACTTATTTCTGGGTACATATTTCTTCTTTTCACTTATCTTAATTTCTTTCAAGCGCAAATATAGTTAAAATGTTATAATTATTAAATTAAGGTTGAATTTTTAATGATTTACTATTAAAATATTAACACCAATTAATACTATAAAACTACTAACCAAAGTGTGATACGAAAATATAGAATGCCAAACTTCTAACAAAAAAGCGCATATTTTTAGATACTTCTAAAAGTATCCAAAACATCTAAATCAAAATAGTATATTATTACTAGAATGTTTACTAAAATTATAGTATTTAAAAAAAAAGTTCAAAACAAAAAATGTAATGTTAAGATTTGTTTTAAATCTCAGCCCACTTGTTTCGCAAAAATGAAATCGGCTTTGACTTTTTATGGTAACTTTGACTTTGTTGTTAACTAAATTATAAATTAATTAAAATAATTAAATAAATAGTTTTAATTTGGATAACTTATCACAATTTTACTATATTTTTAATAATATTTATTATAAAATATAATTTTTAATCAGTTCAACGAAGTCGTGACTAGATAACGAATCCACATGAATTTGATTACATAATACGGTATTGCTTGTTGAGGGTGCACGTTGCATGTCGTTTTATACCAGAACATCACTTTAACACAGTTAGCCTTTTTCCTATTCGAACTGCTTTTGGTGATAAAGTTGCTTGTTCTTGGATCTCCGTTTCTTCGCGTTTTAATTCTGCGATTTTTAGTTTTTCTGCGATTTGTTGCGAGACGAGGAGCATGTCTTTACTTTCCACTAAATTGTTATTTGTCCTGAATTTTGTGATTTCCAAATGAGAATAATTTTCGGGAGATGTTGTTAAGTTTGGAGTGGGTTGAGAGATGTTGACTTGAACTGGATTTTGATTGGTAGTGTTATCTTCTATATTATTAATATCACTTTGAGTCGTTATAGTTTTATTATTAATATTTTCAGACTCTATAATAGTTTTATCTGAATATGTCCGTTCATGTGAATATTCATTAAGTCGAGGAGATGTATTTTTCTCTTTGGGAGATAATAAGGCCTCTGCATGTTCTATTGTCTCATGTGAGATCTGTGGCATTGTTGCAGTCTTCCTTTTGTGTTTTCGTAATTCAATGGGGACGGGGCAATGCTCAGTGACTTGGAGTAAGTCAATAACATCAACAGACATCTTGCCTTTGTTTTTCAGTTTTCAAGTACTTTTTCTATACATTTTCTTGGAGCCTAAAATAAAAAGTAGACCCTAAATTGTACTTATTTGTCGGGGTTTTGGGTATTATAAGAAGACAAAACAAATAATTTTGTGGGCTTTTAAGATCTTTGACGCATTCTCTTTGCAAACGATTTGCTAAATTTGTTGAAAAAAAGGCAATGGACTAAAAACAGAACATGGAAAAATCAAATTCTTAATGTGCCGTTATTGTGTAAATAAAAAACGGGAAATTAAACAAAAAGGTGGAAGTAAAAAACGAAAAATCTGAATTTTTATAACAAAAAAACAAAAAACTAAAACATTATTTTTTTAGAGCGAAAAATCTGTATAAATTGATAAAAAAGTATACGAATAAGTTAAAATTCGATTGATTTTAGCATTACATTGTAAATTAAAATGTAATTTAAAATGAGAATGTTTTGTTGAAAAGTAATGTGGAATAAAATAATAATCATAATTTAATTAATTTATAGTTTGACGTTTTTTCGAATTAATTAGATTAAAAAATAATTACAAGATAAGCAAACATATTCAAAAAAGTGACTCTCTAAAAGCGTAAACTTATTGCTATTGTGGACTAAAACAAATACATATTTATATTAAATAGTTTAAGTCAATAATTAATTAACTTCGAAAAATAAAAATATCATTGATATTATTAAATAAGCACAAAAATATTTTGATCGGCTTATGAACACTAATTATGAAAGTGGCTATAGTGTATATTCTACTGTTAGTTGTAAACAGTCAACCTACGTTAACAAATGAAGAGATCATTACCTTACCAAAAGAGAAAATAAAATTACTCAGAATGTTTGATGACCAACTTGCTCAAAATATTTTATTACTGACTGGATTTTCAACTGATTTAAAGAAATACCGCAAATATTTTACTTCAAATCTGTTTAATACTGTTCTTGAAATGAAAAAGGATGAGGAGGAAATGGGAGTTTTTATTGAAGATGTTATTAAAAGGAAAGGTGTAACTAAAAATGGATTTTTAGCTTGGGCAAACCTTATTTCCATAAAATTTAATTTGCATAATATAGAAAATGGGTATGGAAAGTATATGTATCTACTGAGAAGAAACATTGAAATTATCAAAAGTTCAAAAGTTATAAAAAATCGACTTCAAAATGATTTTTTGGAGGATCTAAAACTTCAAGTTGATATTTATCAACTTAAACTCAAAGTATTAGAAGATTTGAGTTCATTTTTAAGACTGAGAAAAAGTCCAGCATTTTTGAAAGCACATAGTAAATTATCTGATTTTGTGTTAACACTACTCCAATTCCATGTCAAACAAACTGAAGTTCATGCTATGATGTTACCAAAACTTCAAACACCACCCCACCCACCTCCAGCGAAACCAACTTCATCCTCAAGACAACTTAGAAGGACTCTCAGTGAAAGTGATTTAACAGGTAAAACTAAAAGGGATCAATTACAAATTGTTCGACCAAAACATAAAGTTGCTACAAAAAAATCTGATTTAGAGTATAAAGGATTTGAACAGAAAGGTGAAAATCAAGAAAGTCGAACCCAGAATCCCGTTCAACAACGGGAAACTAAAGGAACAACACGACAAGTTGTTAATGAGCAAGAAGAACCATCTCTCTTTTCAAAAGTTATGAATTATTTTTGGCCTTCATATTTCACTGTCTCAACACCTCCACCTTTACATGAGGATAAAGCAACTCAAACCGATTTTTCAGAAGAAGAATTAACTTTACCACCTCCACAAAACGAAGAACAACAATCTAGACGAAGGCATCATTCACATTAATGATGTTATCTAATGAGAAAAAACCAAAAGTATTTTAAATTCATTTATGTTCTTTTTTAAAAGTTATTTTCTTTTCATTCTTCTAAAAAGCCCTTTATTTTTTGATTCATTAACATTTTCTGCAGAAGCACTCTTTTCTTTTGAACCACCAAACTTGCTTTGTAAATAAGATTTCATACCTTTTTTTTGTTTTGTATGATATAAAGTATCTACACTTCTTGTTTTTTCACTATGATCAATCTTTTTCTTTTCATCAAGAAGATTACCAACAGAAACTGCTCTTTTAAAGGAATCAGAATGCTTTTTGAAATGTTCTGGAGTTTGTTTTTGTGCTTCATTTTCTTGTTCTCTGTCTTCATCAATAGTTGTAAGACCTCCTTTTCTTTCTTTTCTTCTAACAACAATAGAAGGACTCATTTTAAGTGAACTAACTCCCATTTTAGGTTGTCGAGGTACAGAAGTGTGTATTTGTTGTTCTGGTTGTGCTGGAGAAGTCTGATGATATGTCATTTTTGTTCCCATTTTTGGTTGATGTTTTCTTGGTGTATGTTGGGTTATGGTTACGTCCTCTTTTTCATTTGAATGACTTCCTCTTTTTCTTTTGTTTTCTTGTTCAATGGTCATTGTAAGTGTTCTTATTAAATTGTTAAGGTTGTTGGTTGAATCAAGAAAAATATTTGATCTTTCTAAATTCATTGTTTTTGCAAATTGAGTTAATATTAACCTTTTCAATTCGAAAATTTCCAATCCAAGTAATAACTTCTTTTCTGCTTCTTTTTTCTTTTTATCTGAGTAAGAGCTGGTTTCAATTTTCCCAAGGTTTTCAACTAAAGATAAAAAGTACTTTCCATATGAAGTTGCTAAATCTTACAAATCATAAACTTTTGTAATCAAATGAATCCATTGTAGAAATGAATTTTTGGATATTACACCAGTCACTCTAGTTTGGTCAATAAAAGTGAATATTTCTTCTTCTTCTTTTTTGATTTTATCAACTAAATTCCACAAATTTGGAGAAAAACTGTCTTGATTGTCTTTATAAAACTTAACTGATTCTTTGAGTTGTTTGATAAACTCCGTTGTTTTGTCATGAAAGGTAAAGAAAGGACCAAGCATTTCAACTGGTATATTATATACATCTTCCGGTTGTCCAAACACTTCACTTATGATAGCTAACCAAATTATTAACATACTAAATAAGTTCTCAAACTTTTATAAATATTCATATGTTATTCACATACTAAAATGACCGTCTTACACTAACATTATTTTTGTTGTTCCAAAAAACAACAAATCTTGTGTTATTTAATCACATTATGATGAATAGATAACACTTTTTATAAAGTGTTACAACTCTTTTTTAAAATTGTTTGTTACAAACAAAAAACTTTTCTGAATAAAAGTATTTTTTTATTAACTACCCATCACAAAAATAATTAAACAATAATTAATTTTTATTTTCACCTTTCTTTTTGAATTCAATTTTGTACTTTGGTTGGAACAAACTTCCCGAAATTGAAGCTTCAGCTCCTTCAAGTATTTTCTCTTCTTTTCCGTGTTCACTTTTTTCGTTATTCAAAACGCTTTGTGTGTGTAATTCTGTTAAACTTTTTGATTTTCTTAATTTGTGCTTTTCCCCCTTCTCACTTTTTCTTCTCGTTTCAGAAATGCTATTTCTTCTTCTGGTTTGAAACTCTCTTTCCACTGAATGAATCGGAGGTTCTTCGAGTATTTCTGGATGTTCTTTTATCTCGGTAAGAGTTCTCAAATGTTTTTTGTAAGTCAGATTTGGAGGTTGCAATTTGGCAGACTTCTTCAACGTCTCTAATTTAGGAAGAGCAAGATGTGGTTCAGGCACGTTTGGTTTGAAGTCGTCGTTCACAAATTTTCCAAGTGTTTCCAAAAAGTCTGCCATTCTACTTCTTGCTTTGATGTAAAGTGGATCTCTTTCCATATTCAAGAATAATGCTATTTGATCTAACATACGCAATTTATAATCAAAGAATGGATAATTCAGAAGTAACTTTTTAAAGACTTCTTCCTTGTGTTTCTTTGATGTTTTAAAGTTATTGACTGTATCCAAATTTCGTTGTAACTCAAACATATATCTTCCATAACCCACATAAATATCATGTAAATTATAAAATTTGTCAAACATTTTCATCCAATTAATAAAATCCCCCTTTCTTATTACTCTTTCTAAACGAAAATTAACAACGAAAGTTGACATTTCTGATTCAATATTCTTTAGTTGATCAAACGTCTTAAACAAATCTAATGTGAACAACTTTGGAATTTGTTTGAATAACAATTTGCTCTTCACAAGTTCAATTAAAAAGGCAGTGTTCATTTCAGCAAATGTATTAAAAATGTCGTATATTGAATCATCAATTTGAAATATTGTATCAACAAAAAAATGTTGATGAGGTTGTCCAAAAGAATGTAATGAAAAGAATATCAATAATACAACAATCATAATTAATATTTAGTTTATGTATTAAATTTAACAATCAAATCACATTTTTATTAAAATTAACTGAATTGTAGAGTTGTATTTGCATTAACAATCTTAAATTTATCTCAAAATATTTTACTATGTTTGATTTCTTAAATTTAGATGAAATTTTTGTTTATCCACATTTTTATTATACTAACTTTTGAACAATATAGTCAGTCTGAAAACGTTGTCCGCTCTCCAACGTTGTCCAGGCATTTTTGGACCATCAAAACTGGAATATTTCGGGAAACAATTCGAAACATTCCCAAAACATTGTTTCATAATTTTTACCGGGATTTGATCGTTTTTACCGAATTCCCAAATTTTTCAACATATTTTGTGTAAAATTTTGCCAAATGGACAACGTTTTTAGACAGACTTTAGTTTGAATAAATTAAATTGTTTTGTTTTTTTAATGTTAAAATAAAATCACATGTATCAATGCATAAATATAAACATTAAAACAATACGTTTAATTTATCGTTTCTTATTTGTTTGCGCGTTACAAGTCGATATTTAAAAGATTTAAATTGTAACATTCTTTTATTAATAATCAAATATTCGAGTTCTGATTTGATATTTCATTTTTACACACCAAAAGTTTTTATGTTTGATTTTAATTGATTTTACTGAATAATATTGTAACAGTAAAAGTATGATATCTTGTTTTAATATTATTAAAACGTTATTAATAAGTTACTTTTGGATATTTTCATTGTTTAAGTTGAAATCAAGTGTTTTGTTAGACAAAAACAGTAATTTATTTATATTTGATTTTTTATTATTTATTTTTTGTGTGAATGATTGAAAATGCTTTTTATAGAATTACAATTCAAATCAATGGTAATCGATTATCACTTTAATCATTTTTTGTAATAGGTGAAAAAGAATGTTCATTATCTCTTCTGAGTTCTTGAGGTTTTGGTATGGGAGGTGAAACTTCTTGGGTTTTTTGTATTTCTCTTTGTGTATCACCTTCTGTTGGAAGAAGTGACATTCTTCTCGGTTTTGGTGGAGGAGTTTGTTCTTGCATTTGAAGAGAAGATCTTTTTGGTTTTGGGGGAGGTAAGGTTGTATCTTTTGATTCTAGTTCTTTAGGCTTTGGTATGGGAGGTGGAGGTACTTCTTGTATTTCTTTTTGTTCAATTTCTTCCGTTGGTACAAGTGACATTCTTCTTGGTTTTGGTGGAGGTGGATTTTCCAGAGATCCAAGTGACATGCTTCTTGCTCGTATTTGGGTTTCCGAAGGTTCAATTGTGAAAGATCCTCTTCTTGTTGTTGGAGTTTTTCTTTCTGTTGGATGTCTTTCTGGTTCATTAACCAAATGTGGGTTTTTTATTACTTCTTGAAGTGTTTTAAAATGACCTGTATATGTTAGTTCTGGTCTTTTTGGTGCTTCTTCATGATGAGGGCTTTGTAATTTTGGTAAGAACGTATGAGGAGATAATGTATCTTCACGCCAATCACTGTCCATGTTTGCAGCAACTGTTTCTTTAAAGTCTGCCATCCTCGTGATTGCTCTAATGTACTCTGGCCTTCTGAAAGTTTTTGTTAATTGAGCAAGTTTCTTGATAATATCAATACGAATTTCAAATAGATTGATATCAAGGAGAAGTCTTCTTTGATATTCTTCTTTGTTATAATTTTTTACTTTCTTTGTCATTTGAATGTTTTCAAGATTGGTCCTCAATTCGTATACATATCTTCCATATGATTTTTCAATGTCATGGGTATTGTATATTAGATCAATTAAAAAAACCATTTCAGGCATTCTGTTGTTGATACGGTTTTGGTCTTTTGGATTTTATCAATAAAACTAAACAACTGCTCTTCCCCTTGTTTTATATGTTCTGTTGTCTTCCACAAATCTTTTGTAAACAGTTGTTCTCGGCCTTTATACAATTGGATGTCATTTCCAAGTCTGTAAATGTAACTGTCCATCAACCGATGGTGTTTTGGTAATAACTCTCTAAATGAAAGAGGAACTAAATAAGCATTATGGGTGACTGAACTTGGCTGACATTTCACACAAGAAACTATAGCAAACACTAAAAGTAATAACATGATATTTAAAGTTGAATTAATCACATTTTGTATTCCAATTTACAAAAGATCCAATTTAAGTGTTTGGCAGTTAAAACATTTTTTGAACGAAAATTAAAAAAAAATATTACCACTCATCGTCACTTTTTTCTTTTTTATCTTCCTTGTTTCCTTTTTGTTTTGAGAACGAAAAGACTCTTTTTAATTTCTTTATCGAGCCCCTTTGTTTTGGTTTTTCTTTTTGAGTTTCAAGACTTAACGAATGTCGTCTCATCTGGTCTCTTTCAAATTCTTTTGGTGTTTTTAAAGAACTAGCCCTTTGTCTATGTTCTTCTACTGTTTGGCTTGGAACTTTAAAAGAACTCCTTCTTTGCCAAATATCAGTATTTGTTGTTTCATCTTCTCCTTTTTGATTTACATCAGAAGAATCTTTTTCATTGGATTTTGCTTTTTCGTCTTGGTATCCACTTAAGGACAACTTGTCTCCTCGTTTTTCTGGATAAGTTTTATATTTTACTTGAATTTCTTTTGGTGTAATCGGTACTCCAACAATTGGGGTGTTTGGACGTTGTTTGTCAATTTTAATCACTTGAGGTGTTTGTGTGATTTTAAAAGTTTCCCCAAAACTGTCCCTTCTCTCAAGCGGATTCTTCGAACGTTGATCATCTTTGTTTTGTTCATTTCCATCTATTCTTGTCAAGTCGGCAAGAGTTACTGTTCTTTTTAGTGGAGATGTTTGTGTATCATCATTTTCATCATTTTCTGTACTTTGTGGCATTACATTTTGTTCTACCTTTTTGTCCTTATCTTGTTCTATTTGTTGATTGACTTCACCTTCTTTCAATTTAAGAGCTTCGAGTTGTTGTTGGAGATTTGGTACAGAAGTTGTAAGTTTGTTCTGATCTTGTGTTTCTTCTTCCTTTTTGTGTCCTTCTCCTTTTCTTTGAGCAGTCATTTGTGGTTTGCTATTTTTTCTTGGTTTTATTTTAACAGTAGATTGGAATTTGTCGACCTTTTCATGAGGTATCTCTCTTCCTCTTTGACTGAGAGGCAAAAACTTATCTCTTACAACCGGATCTCTATGTTCTTTGGGATGTTTTTCGGGTTTTTGAAGAAGATCTGGATGTTCATTTAATTCCTGCTTACTTAATCTATGCGAGTACGATTGTAATTCAGGTACATCAGGATTAAGACCATCATTCATATTCTGGAGTTTCGGTAGAATATGAGCTGACTTTAGTTTATCCCTTTTAATTTCAGGATCTAAAATGGTTTCAAGTGTAAAAATGAAATCAGTGAACCTACTATGAGCCTTTAAGAATGTGGCACTCTTTTGCATATTAACGAGATAGGCCAAGTTACCCAAAACTTGTAGTTTCAATCGGTAATAGTCCAAATCAAGTTCTAACATTGCCAGAATTTTGTATTTTATATTTTTATTTGTTGCAACTAAATTTCGAATATCAGTAAAATCAAGACGTCTGTCTCCTTTCATGTAAAAAATTTCTTCAAGGTTATTGGTTAATTGATACATGTATTTTCCATGAGGTGCATCAATGTTATGAAGATTATATATTGTAAGGATATTCTCTAACCATCTTTCCACTTCGGGTTTTGTCACAAAACCATTTTTATTGATTTCAAATAATAAAAGAGAAGACTTCCTTTCTTCTTCTTTTAACAATTCAACAGTTTTGGATAAATCCTCGGTAAAAAGAATAGGGTATCGTGAGTAATATTGAGAATTAATTTCAAGTTGTTTAATAAACGCAGATGTTTTAATGACAAAATTTCGGAGTAAATCAACCAAGTGTTTGTCGAGTTTTATTTGTTTTTCTGATTCTTCAGTTGGCGCACAAAGTGTATGAGTGATGAATACAAACAAAAGAATCATTATATTGTATTTGAAGTTTGACAATATTATTTAAATTTAAGTAAATTGGAAGTTTGGTTTGATGTTGACTTGTCGTATCAACATTACTCAATAAACCTACCAACATATCAAAAAATGTTTGTTTTATTTAAATAAAGTCCGTTTTTTATTTTTATTTTTATTTATTATTCATGTGGTCGTTTCAACATTCTGTGTTTTATAATTGTTTCAACCCCAAATTTATATAACACGTTAAAAATTTACGTTGAATGTTATGTTATGTTATTGTTATTGATATTGATATTTTATTTATCTTTTTCTCTTTATTGTTTGAAACAAACATAATCACTTTTTTCAAGTTACTTTAGTCGCTATCACTATCACTATCTCTCTTAGTTCGGTGCATTTTCTCTTTTATTTTACCCAATAAATGTCTTCTTTTACTCTTTTGTACCGTCTCAGGTGTCTTATCAACACCAAATCCGGCTTCTGTCTGTTTTATTAATTCATCAACCCCACTTTCTTCATCACTTCCATGGTGTACTATTTCTTTCATTTCTATAAATACAGGTTGTTTTGTTGTTGTTGGACTTTTTGGTGGTTCTTCCTGGTAGTCTTGGAAATTGTTTTGTCTCAGAAGAGCTTTTCTTTTTGGTTTTGGAGGAGGTATTCTGTGGCCGTTTTTATCGACCGGATAATTATCATACAAATGTTGTTCATCTTTAGGTTCACTCAAGCTTTTTCTTTGTGGTTTTGGTGGAGGTATTTTAGGTATACTTTCAGTGTAACTTTCTTTTTCTCCACTAACAGAAGAAATACTGTCTTGTCTAACTAATGGTCTTCTTTTTACACCAGTTTCTCTATCGAGTGGTCTTTCTGGACTTCTCATTACAGGTGTTTGTCTTCTCAAAGTTCTTTTTTGATTCATCATTGGTGGTTCTACAATATCTTCACGGGGAGATGGACTTTCTTTATCAACGCCTTCTTTGGGAGTATAAATAGGTCTTCTCTCATCACTCTGTCCTTTTGTTCTAATCAAAGGTGGATGACTTCTTCTTTCGACTGGAATTTGTCTTTTAAGTGGTTTACTTGGTTTTGGAGAACCAAAAGATGGGGTTGGTCTTTTGAGTTCTTCTTGAGTCAATGGTCTCCATCCAGGCTCTACTTCTCGTTTTTCATCTGGATGTTTTGGAGGTGGAATTTCTATTCCAGGATTTTTGATCATTTCCGTCACAGTCATCATATGTCTTTTATTTTTAGGTTCAGGCGCATTTAACGTGCTTGTTCCGTCTTCAACTCTTGGGAGAAGTCTGCTATGGTCTGGTTTTTGGAAACGACGTTGTGGACTAACGAATTTGCCAAGTGTTTCAATGAAGTCTCCAAATTTGTTATTTGCTTTCAAAAATACTGGTTTTCTGTTTAAGTGCATTAATTGAGCCAATTGTTGCATAACTTTGTGTTTGTTGTCGAAGAAATTTATAGAAAGTAGAAGTCTTTTGACAATATCTTGTTTATCATCGTCTTCAATTTCTAATGACATCATCACGTTTTCAATATTTTCTTTAAGCAATAAAAGGTACCTTCCATATCCATTATCAGTGTTTGCTGTGTTGTAAGTTGTTGAAAATTTTGATAGCCATTTTTCACAATCATTTTTTGTTATAATACCCTTTGTATAAATATCACTTATAAAATGGAACATTTCACTTTCTAAATCTTTGAGCTCATTAACCAATTTCCATAAATTGGGCGAAAACCAATTTTCACGATCTTTAAAAAACTCTCTATGGTGATTAAGAAGTACAATAAATTCGGTGTAATCTTTGAAGAATTGTTTGAATTTTTGTCTGGATTCTTCATCTAAAGTTACTGTTTCTTGGTTGGAAGCTCCAGGCTGTCCAAAGACTTGTACAAACAATAGAATTACAATGAAAGTGATAGTCATACACAATAAGTTTTGTAGTTTTTGTAAATTGTTTAAAAAACAATACAACTACCATTTCAAAAAATATATCATTTTAAAACCAGTGTACTTATAATTCGAATAGTTAGGATTTATCCATAATTGAAAACAAATTAAATGAATATTTCATATTTTATAAAAACAAAAGATAAAGACAACCACAAAAAACATAACACGAATTATTAAAATGTGATAAACATCCAATTTTTATTTTTTGAAAAAAAAAATAAAAAAAAACTTTTTTATTATATAATTTATTACAAAATAGTCATTAAAAAATTAACTTAGTGATGTGTTTTAATCTTTTTAAGTATTAACACTTCCAATGACTATAACCTTTTTTATAATTCTTGTTTTTTAATCTTTTTTATTTTTTCGTGTGACTTGATTTTTACATTAAAAATAGACAATTTTTTTGTTATGTTAAATTTATTTTTTTTTGAAAAATCACCAATATAATAAAGTGTTGATAAAAATTTTTTATTTTAGATGAAAATATCAACTTTAACCTTAAGAAGTGAAAACTGGATAATTTATATCCTTGATTTTTTTACTTAAAATAAGTCACTTTTTTTTATTTTTGTATTTGAACTAAAAAGATCTTAAATTAAGAACTGCGTGTCACAAACCAATTTAAATAATGAAAAATTGATAAAAATCGAAACGCTCTCATGATAATTTATGTGTATGTCTTGTAACAGCAAGTGTTGACTATTTTGAACACATTGAAAACAGGAAACATGGGTCTGTAAAGACCAGCAGTTTGCGCGAAAACTAATCGATTTCGTGTTTTGAATTTATTTTTGATTATTCTAAAAATAAATTATGATCTTGATAAATCTTATCCAGATTTCACCTTCCCACAAAAAAAGTTGATTCAGTTGACTTGCTAAGGTTAATATCATTTGCATTATTTAAAAAAAATTCTATATCATTAAATTTATAGAATTGAATAAACATGTTTTGTTTACACATTTTTGATTATAAAATGACTAAAATTATTATCTATTACTATAAATAGGACAACATACAATGTTAAAATACGATATTAAAACAATAAACAAATGAATAATAATTGGTTTAAAAGTTATTCTTTTTTAAAATGCCTTCTTTTAGACTTTTTGTCTTCTTTTTTCTCTTTTGGTCTAACAACCATTTCTGCTCCTTCTTTTGGTTTTTCTGCTGGTTTTGTTTCTTCGGGTTGTTGAACAGGCTGTTCCACAACTTCTCGTGACTGAGGTTTATGAAACACTTTGCCTAAACTTTTTACAAAAGAACTCTTAATTCTCTTCAAAACATTCTTTTTGCCTCCTAAAGTAAACAATGATGCGGATCGTTGAAGTTTTGGTTCTGTTTGTTCCTTTTTGAGTTCTCTCAAATCCATCATGGATATTGATTTCTTTTTTGATTGACGTTCTTTAAGTCTCACCACTTTTTGTAAATCTGTATCATCAAAACTTTTAAGTTTTTGAGGTACTTTTTTTACTTTTGATTTTTTTTGTTCTTCTAACGCTTTGATAAATTCTTCTTGAACTTCTGACTTTGGAAGAAGGAATTGTGGAGAATGTTCTCGTTTTTCTTTTAAGACATAAGCGCCAAGTGTTTCAGCCAAGTTAGCTGATTTTGAATATGCCTTTAAATACAGTGGAATTCTATCCATTTTGAGGAAATTAGCCAACTCTTTCAAAACAACAAGTAATGTGTCGAAAAATGGAATATCCAACATGAGAATATTAACCAAAAGTAATTTCTTTTTATCTGTGAGTCCTTTAATTTTTTTGAGTGAAGCAATATTGGTTTTCAATTCAAGAAAATACCTTGCAAACCACACATTTGTGTCATGAAGATTAAATTCTTTGTCTATCAGAGTTAGTAGAGATACAAATTGATTTTTGGAAACCGATTTTTTATCAACCATATCACTATATTTTTCAATAAACTGTGCAACTAGTTCTTTTATTCCATTTAATATTTCGGGAAGTGATTTTGAAAAAACATGTCTGTGTTCTGTCATTGTGGTGATCGAAGTTTCAAAAGTATTGTAAAACCAGTTAGCTCGGTCAAGATGTTTATCAATTATTTCTATCAATTTTGGAGTTAACTCAAAACTTGCATCATCTTTACTTGGTTGTTCTGCTGTTTCGGTTGGATTAACTGATTGAACATGTGAAATAATCAATAAAACAATCACTATTTTGGCTGTAATCATAATGCCAAAACATTTTCAGATTTTAACGTATTTTGATGTTAATAATTAGAAACGAATCAAAACCATTTTTTATGAAATAACTTAAATTATTTTTGTTTTTAACACAAATTATTTTTTTCAAAAAACACAAAATTATATATATTTTTTAATTACAATTTTTAATCGTTTTAAAATTTGAAGTCATTTGGATTTGGTTAAAACATAATAAAGTCTTTGATTTCGTAAAAGATATTTTAAAAATAAATTAAGATTTAATTGTAAATAAATGTTCAATTTCATTTTAAAATTACAATTCAATATTAAATGAATTATAATAATCAAAACAAATTTTTATTTGTGTTCTTTACTTTTTGTTTCTTGTTGTTCACTCTTTTCATCTTTTAATGGAGTTGTTGTTGGTGGTTGAAGTGTTTGTGTTTGTGTTGGTGTTGATTCGGGTTGAATAATCAATTGTTCTGATGATGGTTTTGGTATATTGGGTGAAGCTGCTCCAGTATGTTGGACGCTCTTTTCTTCGTTTTGCTTATTCATATCTCCAACTTTTTGATGTTCATGTTGTTGTTTAGGTCTGTAAGGAGGAATTACAAATTGAGGAGCAACAGCTCTTTGTCGTATCACTTTTCTTCTTACCACGGGTGTTCCATGAATTTGAGGAGGCTGTAATATTTGAGGAATTGGTCTTATCAATGTTTGTTCTGCAACGTGTGGTGTTTGTGGAGTTCCCGGTGTTGGTTTTGTAGCAGTAGCTTGTTGTACATATCTTCCTCTTTCTCTCTGTTGTTTAATCAGTGCTTTTCTTTCTTGGTGAGTAGTTGGCTTTAATTCGACTTTTTGATGTTGTTTTTCTTCTTCTTGTTTTTGTTGTTGCACTTTTGGTTTTGCGCCTTGAGCAAGTGCTTGTTCTTCTGTTGGTTTTGGTGTTTTTGGTCTTAAAGGTGGCAACAATGGCAATTTGATGTCTTTGCCTTTTTCGGTCATCATAAACCGCTGTTCAGCTATCATTTCTGCAAGTGACTTCCGAGGTGCCTTTTTCGTTGGCGGCTGTTCTACTTTAGGTATATCTTGTGTTTTTGGAAGTAAGTATTTTTGCTCAGGTTTTACAACTTCTTCTTCGTCAACAAATGTGTTTAATGTCGTTGCGAAATCAGCAAATCTATTGTGTGCACGTAGGAATTGAGGCAGTTTGTTAAGTTTTAATAACTTACAAAAATAAACAATGAATTTTGCTTTAGCCTCATAAAATTTGGGTTTGAGGTACAAAGCCATTTGAAAAAATACTTTTCCTTTTATGTTAAGTTTTGTTGTTGATTTCACTTTACTTAAATTTCGTTTTATTTCAAACATGTACCTCCCATAACTCTTTTCAGTGTTGTGTAAGTTATATGTTTTTTCTATTAATTCCAACCATTCTATATATTTATTTTTGTCGACTTTCCCTTCTTCTGCACATTTAATCAAAAATTCTAACATCTCTTCTTCTGTTTCTTTCATTTCAGCAACTGTTTTCCATAAATTTAAAGTGAACATGTCAAAGCCTTGCAAATAATTCTTTGAATAATCAGCCAACGATCGAATAAATAGTTTATAGTTAGTAATATATTTTTTTAAAGCTTCGAGTATGTCTGTGGGTATAACCGCTTCGTTTGGTTCTTCTTCAGTCTTTTCTGGTTGGGCCAACACAAGAAAAACAATAGCAAAGAAAGTCAACATAATAATTTTATAATTTTAATTTCTTTTTCACAACTTGAAAATAACTTCTCAATTTTGGTTAACAATTTTTGAAATGTCAAATAATTTGACATCTTAATAACAAATTTTTATTGACTTCAGTATTTTAGTATAATCATGTCAATAATAAAATAAAACCTTTTTATATCCTATTTTTCACAATTAAAAAAAGACGAATTTTCTATAGTATTTTAATAATATTTATAATTTATTTTCAAAATGATTTTAAATATTATAACAGTTTGCCAAATTTTCACAAATCTTAATGTTCGGCAAAATATGAGAAAGGTAAAAGTTCAGCGAATTAGAATGGTAGTGAAAAAACTATATTTTTTAATTAGCTTGAATTAGATATATTAATTCCCTTAACTATTGAAAAATAAATATTTTAATAAATATTTAACACTTTCACAACCCAAAACTTTTTTTAAGAAGAAAAACAAGTAAAAAGGAAATTGTCCAAATCATTTTTTATTATTTTTTATTCAAAAACCCCTTTATAACCCAAACCGGCCAATAGTCAGTTTTATTTTACTTAAAACATTTAACAAATGAGAACACAATTACCTAAGATTGATCAAAAATAATCTTTTTGGACGAAATTTCATATCGCTTTATTGTGTTTCGACATTACAGTTAAAACGCTAATTAGTCAATCCACTTTATAACAAACAAGTCAAATAGTCACATCAACAAATATGACGACTTTAAAACACCAATATCGTTATAATCAAATGACAATATACTTTTTATATAAAAAACAACCAAATATATTAAACCATCATTAGACCCCATCTTTCTTTTTGATGCTTTGCTCTTGTTTAACACAAAAAACTCAATGTAGCATCAAAAACAGATGAAGTTGTTACTTCACATAACACTTAACACTTCATGTTAAGTGTGACCAAAAAATAAACAATTCAAATTTGAGTTGATTAAAAAATAAATAAAAAATTACAAAAATTTGTTTTGTTTATAAAGGCAAAAAAAGGTTTAGGTAAAAGAAAAAAATAAAAACTTATTATTATTACGTTTCTGTTTTGAACGTGTTAACAAAATAATTTAATATTTAATATTATTTTCAATTGTGATGACTTTATGGGTATTAGAAATAATTCGCCTAAAATTATCTTTACCAAATTTGTTGAATGCCGAAACATAAAATGAACAATTTACAAAAGTTAAATATATAAAAAAATATACTCACTTAATTTGAATAATTGTAATTGAAATATGTAGAAAACACTTTTTGGATATGCTTGTTTTGGTGTTTTATGATTTATGTAATAAGTTGTATTTTTTGAATTGATCAAATAATTGTTGTTCAACTTTGATTTGTCATCTAGCACATCATTTCAACATTTTATTGTTGTTAATCATAAATTTACGACCGTTATTTTATTTAACATGGTCAAATTTGACAATAACTTGTTTTAACGTTTAACATTGTTTCAATATTGAAACAATGTTAAACTTAACATAAATCATTTTATGTTAAGTTTTTAACAACATTTAAATTAATGTTTAACCCTCAAACATAAAAACTATTGTTTATATTTTATGAATACATTTTGTGAGCATAAAGAAAAACCTGAAATTGTTGCAAAATGTGAAATTATACCAATATTTGAATTATAATTTAAAGTTGGGTTTTATGTTACAATACTACAATGTAAAAACACCTTTTATTTTTTGAAGACTTTTTTGAAATGTGGTTGTTAATGGTAAACCTTTTATGCGAGTTGTTGTTATAAAATCAAAATTAAAAATCAAATGATGATGTCTTTATTTGACTTTTTCATTGATATTTTAATCTTATAAAACATCTTTAAATGTGTGTTGTTAGTAAATAATAATACAACAGTTAAAAATAATTATATATAATATCTCGTTTATATTAATTATCAACAAATTGTTGTTTAAACATAATTGGGTTTATTGATGTAGTTACATTTATAAAGTGATCACAATAGTTTAAAATTGTATTTTTTGTTGTTTCAACAAAATGGTGTGGTAATTCCCAAATGTAACAATCAATAATCAAAAATATATTGTCATACACAACTGTTATTCAGATGTAAATATATTCAACAATTTTATTTGGTTTCAAAACTTTATATTATAAGTAAATTATTGATTTGAAATTTTTATTGTGTTGACTAATTGGTGTGTGAATAATTGAAAACGCTGTTATTTATTGGTTGGGTTAACCATTATTTAACACAATATGATTATAAAAAATATTTACAATTTTTATTCTGAATTGAAACAAACTTTATGTGACAATAAAAGAGTTTTTTGTAAACAGTTTTTCAAATTGTTAGCGGTGTTATAAAAAACATTAAAATTAATTGTCAAGATTATATTCTGGATAATAGCATTTGTCGTGTTACTTTAATTTAAAAGTACAGTTGCTATTTTCGATGATAATTTTACGATCACAATTAAACTTTAATAATCAACAATGATTGTACATTAACAAATCAATTAATCAAAAAAAATTCCATTTAACAATCTTTGTTATACAATAATCATTTATGGATAATGATTTTCTTTGTTTTTAAATTACAATCAAAGCAAAAAATGTATATTTATTAAATTAATGTCGTTTTGTCAAGTAATTTGTATTAGTAATCACTTGTAAGTTTTTTTGTATAAAACCTTTTATATTGTTCTGTTAATTGTTTTCCATTTTATAAAAATTATCTAACAGTGTATTAATTCATAAAACTTATGATTGAAATATTTTGTGTTGATTTTTAAAGGAAATAGTGTTAATTTTAAACAATTGTTAAGACTGATATTTTACGTTTTATGTTGTTGTGTGTAAACTTAATTTCAAATAAAATCGATTTTATTTTGATTTGTGAAACATGTTTATCAAAAACACAACAAATCGAAATTACTTTTTGATTACCTTTCATTTTTATCAAAAAAATAAATTATGTATAGTTTGTTTTTTAATAACTAAATAATTAAAAAAATTATGGCATTTTTCTATTTTTTATTAATTTTTATAGTTGTTTTTTGATTCTGATTTATTTAAAATAATAATTTAATTTTTGAGAAAGTGCAAAGTTTGGCGAACTTTGCACTTTCTCAAATATTTGGTAAAACGCCATTAGTACATGTTCAACAATTATTATTAAAATAGTTCTGGCACATATATCAGAAACATAAAAAAGTAATTATTGGGGACCGTCCTTTGTCACCACCACCTCTTATAATAGAACAATTTCATATATAACATTTATATTTTTTTTTGTTTTTCAAAATAATAAAAAAATAATAACAATTTTCTGATGTACTTCCCATAACTGTAGTTTTTTATTTTATTAAATTAACAAAAAAATAAATTAATTTAATTATCATTGTAGTTTCAAATTTTCATTGTTGAAAGTTTGTATTTGTACAAAAGAATTTATTGTGACTCCATCCCATACATTTTAAGCATCTATTTGAACAATTTTGCTTGTTGTGACCAACAACATTACACAAACTACACTTCCTTATTTGTTTTATCCCAAAACCTCCCTTTCTTGTACGATGTGGTTTTGTTGCATTGTTCTTTTCCACTCTATCGACTAATACTCGTGGTCTTTCTCCAATTTGGTGTTGTGTTTTTGGATCCCTGATGTTCACCTTTGTGTGATGAGCCAAATTTGTAACAGTATAAGATGTTTCACTACTAACGACTGTTGTGTGTATTTCGTTGGGTGATGCTTTACATTTTTCACTTGGATCTCGACATTTTTCTAAAAACGAACGTAGTCTGTCCTTAAAAAAAAGCTGCTTTTTATCGCCGGCTCCACTTCTTTAAGACGATAATGAAGATCATTGTGGTCACATAAAGAGTCAGAAAAGCTTTCATGGCGAACACCGATCGTGTGTGTTGTCTTTTTGTATAAATTTCCTATTAGCCTTTCTCTTGAAAAAGCAAGAAGTGGGAAAGGAAAAATTGAAAATTCGACATACAATTTGGCCATATGAATACATGGAACATTGGTCGTTTGATAAGCTTTACACTCACACCAAGTTGTCGTACAAGGTTGTTGAGTTAGACACGCCACAAGCTCATTAGAATGTTTATACATATTACAAAGAATCAAAAACACCACAACTAAGAAAGTGAAGTATAGTTGGTGGTATTATTAAAAGTGTGGTTGTAGTGTCTTGAAATATTTCTCCTTGCAAGTTGGTATCACAGTTTCGACATTGACAAACAACAGTTTTGATAATTTCATCCAGAGGAGTTTCTCTTGATCCTGTTATCAACTTTATGAGTCCGAAAAAAAACCTTCAATACGATTAGTTGTACGATCCCCCTGTTTTTGATCGAACTTCAGATGGCAACCATTTGTTTTCTTGTCTTATTAAATTCTCAATGACTCTTATTTTATCATTTTTGTTAATTTTAACTTTCCCCTTTCTTCTGTCTTCTTTTGTTTCTCCGATAATTTCCAAAAATATTTCGGTATCCTCAACGAGTAAATCACCCGTTAAATATTCCGAATCTGATATGGCTTTTTGAATTCTTT